TGGCTACAGGCCAAGAAGAAATGGCTACTAGGATGTTTATGTTAATTTGTTTATGTAATATTAGAGAGTATTTCCATGACAGGGGCAGATCCAGAAATATTTTCCGACAGTCTTCCAAATAAGCTTTATTTATCCATACTCCATTTTTGACCATCTTCCAACAACAACAACAACAACAAGAAATTTGATGCCTGTCAAACTAAATGTAAACTTAAAAATTCAGACCGTCTTTTGGAAGACCCAGAAGATGGCTTCCATCCCTCCCTCACAATAATATACCCTGTGTATAGAGTACCTGCTGTCGTAGTCCCGCCAGGTTTGAAAGCAGGACGGAGCTTGGCCAATCCCTCGGCTGTTGTGGGCCTGATGCCTTCATCTTTACTCACCTGAATATATATTATAATTTATGAATGCTACTCATAATAGTAATTATTATTATAATTACCATTTTAAATACTAAATTCATTTACAGCACTAGCACATGAAAAGCATGCCTATGACTAGATAAGTAATATATTTATCAAATAGTAAAATATTCTTCTGGAATTTCAAATCTTACTTAATTTTTAGCAAATTGACTCATATGTAGTCTAGTGGTACAGGGTCCGTGTGTGCATGGATGTGTGCGTGTGTGCGTGCGTGCATGGATGTGTGCGTGTGCGTGCGTGCATGGATGTGTGCGTGTGTTCGTGCGTGCGTGTGTGTGCAAGAGAGAGAGAGTGGTTTGTTTATATTGATTAATTTGGACATTTCATTACTAACAATATAAAACTTACAGTAACAGTTTTCTCATCTCCATTTTTATCTTTCACTGTTGTTGTAATGGGAACAATCTCAGCATCAAAGAGACCTTGGCTTGCTGCCGTAGCCGCTCTGAAATGAGCCAATTTAAGTATCTTAATATCAAAAACATCAATTTATAAAAGAAGGCAAAACAGTCTCATGTTTACTGGTACTTCATTCAGCAGCAGTTTGTAGTTTTTACAAAACATTAGCATTTCAACCATGAAAATTTCTTTCCACAGATCTCTTCAAATGATTTACTTCATGTTGAAATTTTCTAGAAATTAAAAAAATGTTAATTTTACAATAAGCATTACTCATAATAAAAAACAGTGTCAACTGCATCATGGCATGTAAAATTGCTTTTTTAGGCTGATACAAGTCTATATTTGAGTTTTGAGGAATTTTTCACTTCTGATAAATTTATCCTGGTTTTAAAACTATATCTGACCTTTGTTGTGATAGGAGAGAAAATGCATCTTGCTTTTTCCTGTCTACGCCGTACCTTTCGGCCACATTCTCTGAAGTTATTCTGAAACACACATACACAGTTACATATATTATTGTAAAGTTAGGACAGGTTGTCACAACTCATTATTTTACTATCCTGAGAAATCTATGTAAATAATATCACAAAAAATATTGATTCATTACTTTTCATGGGGATCATTTTTTAAATCAGCATCAGTATTTGTTTAAATTTAAAACATTGAGGATGCTTGCATCTGTATAAATTTTTTCTTTAAACTTTTTATCAATACTGATTCATTTACAAAGTTTTAAAATAATGTACTAGTAAAGTTTTTTAATTTAAAAAATGAATAAATACATATTCATTTATTAATAAATGGTTTTACTTGGAAGAAACAATGATACTTAGAATAAATAATGAATACTTCTTTTAAAACTTGTTTCCTACCCCATAGGAATCAGGCAGTCCTGGGCAATCTGGATGTCAAACACTTTAGGGCTGAGTTCCTGACCCTGACCATCCCCAATACTTCTCTGGCTCATACTCTCCACTCTGATCATGGACACCAAAAAAAAAGTTAATTTTCTCAGTCTGTTAATATTACTTAAACAGTGCAGTAATTGCGCTTCAGCCAACTGTCTTGGAATTGTTATTTTAACCTATGTTTTAATGTTTATGTGGCAGATTACATTACTGAATGTATTAGAGGTGTGGCACCACAGCCATCTTGATTGCGTTCATCTAATGTTCCTCTAGTGATTACATTCTTTGTTCACCATCCTACAAGTAACTGACTGAGAGAGATTCCTTTTTAGTTCAGCTGCTTGATCCATTAACAAAATGTGGTCATTGGTTGCAGCAAGGCAGTCAAACACATTAATTTACTGATTAATCATTTAATTTGTCTGGCGACCCAAATTTACATACCCAGCACCAATGCCAATGTCACAGACTCCCATTGCAATGTCTCCTAGAACAAAAAAAATTAAAAATATGTTTTAATTACAGATTTTATTTTCCTGGCATAATACAAATAACAATGAAGTTATAAAAACAAAAGAAGATATGCCTGCATGAGGAAAGAAGTAAAACCAAGTAGCTAATGGAATAATCAAATTGTAAGAGAAAAACTTTCATATCTCATAAAGTTTGTTAAGTACTATCATAAATGACAACACACTGATAATGATCACATTAAAATGCCACACACATACAAACATACACACTCATCCTGGCAGTGGACTAGTAATAATACTGTCACAAAGAATACACTCATGAAATCAAAATGAAAGTCATGTTTTGATTGTGATAAGGTGGAAAAGTAATGACCTCCATTTCAAATGAAGGGCTCGAGAATGACATTATTCAATAAATTAGATTAAAAAAAATTAATTCCATCTTTTAGTGTTATAACACTCATGAAATGTTAACAAACAAATAAAGCACCTCCAAGATGTTCCAATCGCCTTACTCCAGGTAAACAAACTATTCATCCCTGTATATTTTTATAACCAAATGAATCATATTCAGTCTGTGTCAGATGCACTTGCCAAACTACAACTCCCAGTAGGACTGGCACCAAATCAGAGACAGAAAATTGGATGTTCTTGGTCTTTTCGTGTGCACATAGATTACAAGGCTAATTTACTGGAGAGTTTTAGTTTTCTTTAGATCTAGGATAGAGGGTTAGAGGGCAAGGTGTGACATGTTATAGAGAGGCGCCAGTGGTTGGCGTATATCCATTTGTACATGTACTTTGACTTTTATTGTTATCTGTACCAGATAAAGCGTTCCAATACTTTCACAACTTGGATAGAAATAAGGTCTGGGTTGTCTGTGTGAAAAAAAATAGGGCCAATACTTTAAATCTTCTGTGCAATGCATCTCTTTCCTTCTCTTTTGTGCTTCAATATAGAATGATTTTGTATCATAACATGGAATATTTTGTTGACAAGTTCCTTACAAAGTGAAAAATTTTCCTAATGTCATTAGAATTAATAAATCTCCTGAGAGTTTGTACTCATAAAGATATTTCTCTTACATAGTGTTTCAAGGCTTTTTGAAAATAATCTCTCTCTCTCTCTCTCTCTCTCTCTCTCTCTCAGGGTCCTTTTCACTCTTCCCAATTTTGAATTTTCACTCCTATAGTTAACAGAACTTGAGAAATGGCATGCACTGGGAGATCAAACTTGGATTCAGAGTGGACCTGACCAAAAGGGCTGTTCTTCCAAATCCTGACCCCCCCCTCCCCACCCACCCACTATTACCTGCCACATTCATCACGGCCTGCAGTCCTGAAGAACACTGTCTGTTTACCGCAGATATAGGGGTTGTCTCTGGAATGTCGCTGCAATGATAAAATAATATAACTGATGTGTGAACCAAAATTTAAGCAAATAAATTTGTTCATTCATTGAATTTGCATAACTGTACTGGAAAAAAGAGAAAAAAAATGAAAAATCATTTTTTCTCTCCCATATTTAATTCAACCTCTGGATAACAAGACAAAAATTAATTGTTTTACGAGTAACTTTAACTACCCAAGAGGCCAATAAAACTAGACTGTACTAAAATGGCTCATAAATATTTACTAGCTTGGGCCTTAAACAAGACAATAAGTTCAACTTGATAATTAATATAAATTAATTAGAGATATATATTTTTTTTTCTCTCACATTTCTGTCATAACCTCTGGTTTGAAGATTAGAACTGAATTGTTTTTTAACTCCAATAAAACAGAAATGACTGTAAATTAAAATACTAAAACACTCCATGAAAAAACTTTATATTTAGACTTTAACAAGGTGATAGGTATAAAACATCAATAAATTCTTCTGTCAGTTTATTATCTGTCATATAGCCTCTGGTGTCATGCCATCACAACAACAGGATATCGAGGTGTTATGGCAGACATATTTTAACAGCCTGTGTGTTGATGATATATTTGCAGTCTTCGGGTGCTGTTTGCGAGTGGTTGAACTTTCTAAACTTTTATTTTTAATGAGCTAGAGAGAGAGAAAAAGAAAAAGAGAGAGAGAGAGAGAGAGAATGACAGGGAGACCAGAGGAAAATAGAATTAAGCTTTCTGAAAAATGCACTTTAAAAGGTTAATGTGGTGTTATTTATCATGGTGGTACCAGGCCCGTAGCCAGGGGGGGTTGGGGGGTTCAAAAGAACCCCCCTTTTTGCAGGGAAAAGGTCCCCTCTGGTGAAATTTAATTAAGGTACATGAAAGTTTCATGGTAAAAGGTCCACTTTTTCATAAAGAACCCCCCTTTTGAAATTTCTGGCTACGGGCCTGGGTACTATAATATTTTAATTGCCTGCCTACTAATAAATTGCTCTCTCACTCCTTGGATACTGGTTTCAATTGGTTTAACTTGGGTATCACACCCTACATTGGACTTGAGAGAGAGAGAGAGAGAGAGAGAGAGAGAGTATATAGGATTTTGAAGGTTCATGTAGCAGTACAAATGAATAATATTCTTATGTTCTCAAATCAAACTAATAATGTTTCTCAATCAAATCTTAAAGAAGACAAAAACCAATTCCACTGTAAGGTTATCAGATGTATAAATATCCCCTATACTTTATCTTAGCCACAATAAATGCTGTTTCCTTTGACGTTAATGAATATGTAGTACAGCCCAGAGGTGTCAAATCATCAGTGTGAGTACGGACAATATGTCAGCCGAAAGCAAGGACAAGTCCACTTCCCAATAATAAACTGTGAGCTGCCAAGGCTATCTTAATTAAGGGCTGGCAAAATTAATACATTTAGTTAAAGAGTGATGGCTCTCTATGCACAGTTTCATGAGAGTAGTAGCTAAATTTTAGGGTCAAGCATTAATTGTTTTAACTTTATTTGGGGGGGGTGGAGGGCATAGATTTTGAATCTACAATGCATGGGGTGATTTTAGCAAGAGCACAAAAAAAAGTATTATGCTTTTTGCTGAAGCCAACTGTATATTTTTCCTACTTACCAAACCAATCCCCGATGCATTTCCTCCATTTGAAAAAATAAGATGAGGTGAAAGTTAAGATTTCCTCAAAATTACAGTCAGTCACACTCATTAGTCAACTTTTCAATTTTGTTTGGCCTACTGTAAGCATTTTTTGTGTATAAGCAGTCCATGTCTATGTCACATGGCAGAACCAACAACAACATTCAAGTTATTGTAAATGTATCCTTATTTATTTTATTTTATTTTATTTTTCTTTCAAACTTTGCACTTGGAAGTTGTTTTGATGTCAGAAATAAACAAAATTCAACTAGTTGTGAGACTCTATCTTGGTTCACCAAGTGCAGCTACATTTATCACACAAAGGATCCTTTTAACCCAGCACACTAGCATCTTCTCAACGAAAAGTATAATGATATTTAAAATTATGAAATTATCAGTAAAAAACACAGGATTTTCTTCCCAGTTCCAACATAGCTAATGGCCTGTGTATGTCAGCATCTGCTACTGCGTACAACTACGCAATCGAAGCCACAAGTGACTCATGCGCAACCTCTGCAAGAAAAATATATTTACATTCAAGAACGTACCTGAAGAACTGACCAAATCTGGCCTGTAGAGCTCCCGCCCCTGGCAAAAGGACATTTCCTGTGGAAAAAAAGAACACATTTATGAACCACGCCGGGCCTAGATTAACAAAAACAACATTCTTCAATTAAACATCATTATAATTATAATTGTTATGTATTAATCAATGGACGGTGCACACTACACCTGGCACAGACGGTGGTGCTGGGAATATTTTACGATCAAATATTGTGACAAAAGTTTAAAGGATGATGACAATGGAGCACGCCACCTCCACAAGTCCCCATTCACATTCTCAGTCAGTTTAAATCTGATCTTACTAGTACTCTAAACTGACTTTCCAAACCAAGTTTAAAGACTTGTCTACTATAGCCACAGGAACAGATGTGAGGTAGACTTGAGATGGTTACCAGCAACTTTAAAGTTAATTTTTAAAAAATTAATAATTTCACCACACTGAAAATAAAACTAAAATGATTTTTTTTTTCATTAGACCAAACTTTTTTTCTACTTGACTTAATGCAAGTGAAAAATTAAAAGCAATCCTTGCATTTTCACTGTGCTTAAAAATATGCAAATCTTGAGCAGGGCAATAATTTTATTATTTTAAAATTATGTAACATGCCCTAAAGTTACAGATGTATAAAAGAGATAACGAGCAGCTTTATGACAAAACTTTTTTATCCTTGAACTGTTCCTTTGAAGTTAATTCAATTTGACTGTTAAAAAGTGCCTCTGCTACAGCCATTTAAGTTTTTTTCAGTCTGACAAACCTGATTAGAGATTAAACCATTTGTCTTCTACATGCATAAACTTGAATTCACAACTTTTGTCATTTAGTTGGCAAGTCGACTTTTTGTTTCTGTACATGTAACTCTTGAACTTAATAAAAAAAATTGCTTAAAAAACAAATACTGAAAATATTTTTGGGACATGCTAGTTCAAAAAAATAAAAATGGAAACAATTATGGTAAAATCAAAATAAAAATATAAAAAATTATATGACTCACAAGAAGTCAAGGATGTTGAGGAGGCTGGGGCTATCTTGTATTCACAAACAAAAAGTAATACATTTTGCTTAATATTTCCATAACTGTTTTATATAACTTTTTAATTACTGTTAATTTATTTCCATATTAGAAAGTACAGTACTATAAAGCAGGAAAAATAATGGGGCAAGTCAGAATGGTGCAAATATTACTCAAATTTGAAAATGTGAGCATCACTGACTGTGAAAACTCAAGAGAATCGCTTTTTATCTTTGGAATCACCCAAAAATTGCTAGGTGTGGCAATGTCCAGTAATCAATAAATTGATCACCCTACCCACACAAATGTCTCCAATAGCCCTGGGGTCCAGTTTTGTTTCTTCTAACAAAGCCTTGAACACTGTAGATAACATGTCTTCTGGTCTTGTGTCCTGGACAGAAGAAAAGAAGAAAGACATTACGATGCCAGCAATCTTAAAAGCGGGGTTCTTTCTTTTTCACGAAAAAATTTGATTTAAATATATTACACCTTTGGCTGTCCCAGCTTGAGAAATGGCAAATTAAAACACCCAGTTTAAATTTTGATTCAGAGTTGAACTTTAACAGATGTTTACTGGCCTGTGGGTTCATTATCATATGATATATAACAGTTGCTCCCAGTAAACTTGGTTGGTTTCCACCAACAGTGAATTCTTTTGCAATGAACTTCAGACTTACAGGGAACCCCTTTTATAAATATTTAATTTCTTTCATATCAATGAGCCCTTTGGATCAGTTGACTTTCATGCACTCAAGGATAAAGGTCACACACATACAGTGTACATGTACTGATTGTTAAGGCAATTATCTTCACTCAAAATTGAAATAAGCTGTGCTGGGACTTCTTTCAGTGAATTAGACAATGCACATACCTGTCCTGTAAGGACAGTTGTGAAAAATACCACAATGTAAAATAAGTTATATTTAACCGACTGAGTTATATTTAACCGACTGAGTGTCAATTTCACAGCATACGTGCTTGGTACATGTACGCCATGTACTGTACATGTATACATACAGTGAATATGTGTTGTACAGTTGAAGTCAGAAGTCAGAACCTCATGAACACCCAGATAAAATTGCACCAACAAGCTACCTTTAACATTCCACGCTTAGCCTTCCCGATCGGGGTTCTTCGGGCAGCCAAAATAACGATGTCATCGTCGCTCTCCACCCCTGGTCGGCTTGCCATGCAAGGCTCTGTATGGACGTCAACTGCCGCACTGCTCTGGCTAAGTTGACCAAAAAATACTTTACGGCAATCCGTCATTTCTAACCGTTCTTTATTCTAAACCCAGAAAAGGACTAGACCTTGTCGCAAGCGAGACAGTTACAAATGGACCCGGAGGTCAAAAAGTAAGATCAATGCTGAGATAAAACGGCCCCGTGATAATGTTGACTTGTGTGGAGTTTGAGCTCAGGGTTTCCCAGACTCGTTTTCGCGTAATCGGTACCGAGGCTGGGAATCCCACCTCACCAAGACGGTCCCATCAAGACAGGCGACTTTTCCATAAATTTTGCGTAGCTGGATCAGAGCAAAAATACACTGATGATAATTTCAAAAACTCACATATATTTATAGGAAACTATATGTACGACATCCTAGATAACTTTTTTGTCTGTTTGCTGGATTCCTAGGCCCTTAAGCGTTTTAAAAAGGTGAACGACCAGTTTACTACCAGTATGATGAATGGGACGTGTACCACAACTTACACGTACTGGTTTAATGCAGCGTCTGATGCCTACTAAGATATTTCTAACAGTTAGAACTGACAGTAGAACTGATTAAAAGAACAGAACTATCACGAGACTGACATTGTCTAATTCTTTTATTTATTTAATAAGCTTTTCCATATTTTAAGAATTAGGGGGCCTATTAATTATTATTATTATTTTTTTTTAATCCATGTTTATATTTTTACGAACACTATAATACGTGATAACATATGAGGCCGCCCGGCCCATGCGCCTTTTCAAGCGTCATGTGCATTGCCAAACACTTCGCTATTTTATTAGATCGTCGTCTTGTTTTATAATAAGACTTACCATACATTTAATTGTCCATCTACTAGGCCTACGTCTATTCATTGCATTTTGAATTTTTTTTTCATTTGATTTCAAATATGGTTAACTTAAGCAGATGAGGCCTTAATATGTGCAGTGTGGGCGATCAAAACAATAGCGTTGCGGCTGGCATTGAGGTTATTCCCCTCTAAAATCTCACTTTCCAAGCTAATACCCAAAGCATTACCTGGAAACATAGGCTCATAAAATATCTGATCTTCTCAAAACCAGTGTCGGTAGAGCTTATTAACCAATTTATGAAATTTGTCTAGCCTAACTGACAATATTGCGTTCCCTTTGGATATAGGGGGCCTATACGTATACGTGAAGATAAAACAGAAGAACGCCGTCGGAAATATTTAACAGAAGTCGTAATAGTTTTCTGTTGGTAAACTACGAATGATTTCGTTGTCGAACAATAAAACGGTGTTAACGAGGTAAAGTTTTTTATAGTCTGGTTATTATCTCTATTCATCTTCACTGCATCCCTCTGTCTGAATTTTAAACATGTTGAGCAGCTTAATTGTTCTGAACACGCAAGTTCAAGAGGACAGACCCAATTTTGGTAACAGAAAGAAAGATAGAGATAAAAAGCTGATACCCCCCCCCCCAGGTCTTGAGTAGTTATAATGCCTGGTCTTATTTTTTATTGTGAAATTTGATGTAAATAAAATGATACCAGGAGAATATCATTCCACAGTCATTTATCTCCCCCAAAGTATTGGTTCAGTAGGGGTGACACTTTTATTGTGCAGTGTGTAAGTCAAAATCTAAGGCGGGCCTTTCTGTGCAAATCAACTGGAACCGGACCTACATCGACTACACTGGCTCTAAATATAAAGTTTGCGTCAGAATTTCTTTTCTTTTGTTTATGGGACTATAAAATCCTGAAACTATCTCAAATCACGCGACAGGGGCTTCATACCTCCTCCATATTGCATAATATATGGATGAATTGATGAAGTAACTTGAAATATACAATTTATGAGGTTGATTAATGGTCGCTTTTATTTAATGCCAGACCGAAATGAGAATTAATACGAACTTTACTTTAACTAATTGACCATGAGACACAAATGTAAATCTGCAATTGATTTCCAAGAGTACTGAAATATGACATGGTCAAACTATAATGATAATAAGTAAGCGATAAAAGAATATTTGTGGGGTTGCAGAAAGACTATTTAAACAGAAAGACTATTTTTCTATACCGGCAGTAATATTAATGTCCCCGGTTTGCAATCACGCTAACGAATTCAAGTATATTTAGTTTATGCAAGATTTACGAATATTGATAAAAAAAATCGCATTAAAATGACCCCATTAACCTTTAAAAGTTGAGTGCCTCATTGTTTTAATTAAATGCTATACGTTCATGGCAAAATCAATTAAATGTGCTTTTGAAGTAGAACTCGTTGCTAAAATAGTCACAAATCGTTCACAAACACATAGCTGATTGATGTACAAACTCACACTTATGATGAATAACTTTTTTATGGACAGTGGAAGTAAGTGGCAAGCAACACCATGTCATCCTAGGGGCTCGTGTAACCCTACTGACCATTCTAATTACGTTCTTTTAGATCTCACTTCTTAAAATTACATCAACGCAGACCAGATAAAAGCATTTAAGAAGATTTGATTGGTCTATTAAACTTTTATTTTCTCTTAATTGCTTTTCTCAATTTGCGCGCCGTCACAAGATCTGAGCATCGCCCTGAAGGATCTTTGGCAGCGTCAGGCGACAGTTTTGGTCCTACTCCGTGTCGGTCTCTTCGGCATTGAACAAGGCTTTAAACAGTGACTACAACCCTCCTAACATCACCATCCTAACGCACAAACAACGCCCGCGCTGAACAATAAAAATCCGCGCCTGAGTTGGACTGCAGAGCACGTAGACGAACTTGGCGTGTAGGAAGGAAGCGGGATGGTATAAAACGGTGGAGCGTCTCGGTCTTGGGGACAGAGCGGTTTTGATCTTGGAAGTCATCTCTGAGAGCGGTGCCTGACAGATCTGAGGAGGAATTCGTGGCCATGAAGTGCTTCATTGCAGTATTACTATTGACATACGTGTCGGGTAAGTCCTGGATTTTTTCTGGCCTTTCTTTTCTTGCTTTGAATGATTCTTTTGCTTTCTCTGCCACTTAGCATGAAGAAAAATCGTAAATCATTAGGGGGGAATTGTCAATTGAATTTGCCAGGTTTTCTCAAACCATTTGTCAGCATCACTGGGTATGTAAGAAGTACTGTTTATTTGTAATGTTACGGCCGAACGTATTTATCAATGGACAGTTGAAATGTAGAATTTTGCTACTTAAAAACTGCAAAATGTAATTTCTAGATTTGGCAAAAAAGTAAAGTTATTTACAAAAACACACACACATGTTAACATACATGTTGATGATTAGGCAATTATCGATTTATTCACATTCAATATTCTTCAAATGTTTTCAATTTACATCTTCAACAACCTTTCTTTTTCTTCCTTTGCTTGCCCTCTCTCTATCCCTCTTTCTCTTTCTCTCTCTCTCTCTCTCTCTGATTTTCTCTGTATCTCTCTTTCTTTCTCTCTTGTTGTTACCGACACAAACGTGTTTTGCATTTTTTGCTTGTCATATATATATATATATATATTTTATTGATATCATACTTTACCTCCCTATCTAACTTTTTCAGCTGGACACGTGGGTTACGGTTCCAACAACAACAACAACAACAACAACAACAATAACAACAACAACAATGGGCAAACAGTCAAAGGCAAAATTGGCCCCTGCAACTCACTGGCGGATGTTGGCAACTTCATGACGTCTCCAACCCTGTGTTACTACCAGGTTTGTGAGGCCAGGCTGGCTCACGATGTTTCATACACCACCAAACGCTGTGCACCTGGATCCCGTTTTGATGCTGGCGCCGAGGAACCTGGATGCGCCATCTTTGACAGCAGGTGCCTGCTTCCCACACAGGCTCCCACACAGGCCACCACGAAAAGCAGTGGCGGTGGTTATGGTAACGGTGGCGGCAGTGGAGGAAATGGCGGTGGTAGCGGAGGTGGTTATGGAACCGGCGGCGGTAGTGGCGGCAGTGGAGGAAATGGCGGTGGTAGCGGAGGTGGTTATGGAATGGGCGGCGGCAGTGGCGGAAATGGCGGTGGTAGCGGAGGTGGTTACGGTACCGGTGGCGGCAGCGGCGGAAATGGTAACGGTGGTGGCAACGGCAACATGCAAAAAATGATGCAGAAAATGATGCAGATGATGATGATGATGGCAAATGCTGACTAGAATAGGTATGGCGTCAACCTACCTCGTTCCCTTAAATAAGCTTAAATTCCTTTCACTTTTGTCCAATGAAACCTTTCAGCATAGTTGTCTCGACTTTTGCTTCATTTATTATTATCTAAGAAAGGTGAAAATCATACGTTTTATAACAAATTTTGATGTAATTAATTCCCTCAGACGACTTAAGGTGAATTCTTTAATAGGCAACGTCTAAAGCTGTTGATGTATTTCATCTCAAACAGCCATACCTTCTTTTACAAGAACCAAAGCGCCCCCCCCCCCCCTCCTCACCTTATCAGACCCCTTTCAGTTGAAAAACTAACTAGAAAATTAATTGGCTTTAAACCTAACAGGTGACATCGACCCGCCGTCTACAATTCAAAATGGATTTATCTCTTCTTTTCTTTAATATTTTCTGTTTTATATTTCAGTAAACAAGGGGAGCGCAATATGATGTGTCTCGGGACAACACTGGGTGTCCATGAGTTTTAACAACGCAGCGGCACTAGTCTCAGATACAACATACGGGCATTTACATACAGATATCACGTGATATTTAATTACACTGGTCTAGAAACTGAAACAAGTACCCGTGTAAGTAAAGACAAAAAAATACAATGTCAAATTAGATAATGGAATATCATTCAAGAGAAGAACATTATATCCAAGGAAATTGTTTTGTAGTATATCTAAAAAACGAAAGATATAAAAAAAAACAAAAGTTTTAAAATTCCTCAGCACTGTTGTCTCTTTAAATGCAAACCCATATTGAAAATTTCCTATTTGTTATGCTAAGTGCCGTTAGTTTACCTTAATAAAGTTTGCTTTAATAAACGATTTGCCAAACACAAACTATTCGTCATGCGTTGTATCTTTTCTCCACAGTCACGTTTCAAATGGCAAAGACTACTCACACCTAAAACCGCCAATTTGTGAACCCCTTTGGCTGTCACTGTGCTCTATATAACGTCACAGGTGAAGTCAAACGTAAACTCAGTGTAAAACAAAATGAAAATAACAGCATCTGAAATCATCTAAATAGGAACGTTCCGGGAAGGCTTATAAAAAAAAAGCAACGTTACTTGAATAAATTCAGTAGCTTTCCCGTTATAGGGCCACGTCATACCACCTGTAAACTGCGGTCAGCAGGAAAAAATGGATCTTCCCGGAGGATTTATTTGCCAAATATATTTTTCTCAAAATTAGTTTCATCGCTTGAATGCTTGAATGGAAAGTGCTTTAGGTTATCCATATTTAAAGATTTTTTTAACGATTCCCTTTTCTAATGGGGTTGCTAAACCTAAAACCGTCCCATTGTGGTCTTCAACGTCATTGGCGAAGCCAAACTTAATTTCAGCATAAAACAAAGTCAACGTAAAAAAAAAAGTAATCTATCTAGAAACGCTCAGTGTCGGCTTCTCAAATAAGTCCTCGTGTACATGATGAAGTTTAACAATGTTGATGATAATACTGTGTTCGCCGAATGACGTTCTGCGGGATGAAATACATATTTACGGCTCACGGACTATTGATTACCATGACAGATATCTACATGTACAGCCAAACTGGCCCTCTCTGTGGGAAAGTAGAAAGTTTCCCTTTGATCCAAACTCTGCCAACGAAGCTTCTGTGGCTTCTTGGTAACTCCGACGTTAGAGAACCACTCAACACCTATTCGCGGGTTCGAATCCCCAAATTTTCAATGTGACTTTTTCTGCTCGAAATAATTTTTAAAAATTGCGTTTGATTACTATAAGAGGAAACTCGCATGTACGGAGGAAGGTGGGTCAGTCACGGCGCAGTCGGTAGCGTGCTTGGTTGCAAAAAAAAAAAACACAAAGCCATCAGCAAACCATGGTAACGACAAGTCACGAGTTCGAATCCCAGATGACGCATGTCAGGTCACCTCAACAACCAGCTGGACCCGCAACCGAAAACGAGACTGGCTCTCGCGTGTCCTAGGACATTACCTTTTGCATAAAAATTCGGTATAGTTTAGAATTTGTAACTGATTTGACAACATATTGCTATGCATTATCATTAATTCTGCGTCGTCAATTATATTTCTTTTCTCTTTGCTTTAAAGTCTTTTAAATGATATTTAGGTGGGAATGGTCATTGATCTCTATCCTTTACCAACAACGCAACAGATCAAAATGGAATTAAGTCACTACCATACCCGACATGGCGTCATGCAAGGCATACAGCCCTTTCATTAAAAAAAGCTATCTGCTCGTTGGGATTATCAACAAGAAGTTTTTTCAAAACTCGCATTGCCGCTATTGCTTTACCTAATCATTCATTTTGTATTTTATACCCCCCCCCCTCCCCCTCTGGCCTTGCTTATCAAAACTGTTCATACATTCATACAGTACCCGGGGCAACTCCACAGTGGACGTTTGAAATGGGAAAGACTACTCACACCTAAAACCACCAATTTGTGAACCCCTTTGGCTCTCACTGTGCTCTATATAACGTCACAGGTGAAGTCAAACGTAAACTCAGTGTAAAACAAAATGAAAATAACAGCATATGAAATCATCTAAATAGGAACGTTCCGGGAAGGCTTATAAAAAAAAAGCAACGTTACTTGAATAAATTCAGTAGCTTTCCCGTTATAGGGCCACGTCATACCACCTGTAAACTGCAACCAGTAAGAAAAAAATGGATCTTCCCGGCGGATTTATTTGCCAAATGTATTTTTCTCAAAATTGGTTTCGTCGCTTGAATGCTTGAATTGCTTGAATGGAAAGTTCTTCAGCTTATCCATATTTAAAGTTTTTTNGTACATAAAAAAGTAATGTATCTAGAAACGCTCAGTGTCGGCTTCTCAAATAAGTCCTCGTGTACATGATGAAGTTTAACAATGTTGATGATAATACTGTGTTCGCCGACTGGCGTTGCGTGGGATGAAATACATATTTACGGCTCACGGACTGTTGATTGCCATGACAGATATCTACATGCACAGCCAAACTGACCCTCTCTGTGGGAAAGTAAAAAGTTTCCATTAGATCCAATAGTTGCCAACGAAGCTTCTGTGGCTCCGTGGTAGCTACGCTGTCTTGAAAATAACCCAGCATTAATTTGCGGGTTCGAAATCCCAATTTTCCAGTGTGATGTTTTTAGCTCGAAATAATTTTTAAAAAGTGCGTTTGATCACTATAAGAAGAAAGTTGTATGTACGGAGGGTGGGCGGGTCAGTCACGGCGCAGTCGCTGGGTTTATCTACAAGAAGTTTTTTTCTAAAGTCGCATTGCCGCTATTGCTTTACCTAACCACGCATTTTGTTTTTTTTTATATGCCCCCCCCCCTTTGGCCTTGCTTATCGCAATATGCTAATTTACAATGTATTTATTGTGAACTTTAGAATCTTATATGAACAACTGTTATCTCTTTAAAATGTGGACTTTTATTAAACATAACTAGCACAGTATTTTAGACGCATCGATATCACTACTGGGAAATGTCAACATTTAATTTTATAACAATTCATAAAAAATCAAATCCACTCAGGGTTGATTTCTGACTAGAGATGTTTTACAGTCCAAAATATCACATCGTTTACGAGAGGTAGGCCTACAAGCACTCCCTATGTGCTCATTGCGACAATGACTGGGTCGCAGATGATGGCTACATATATTGTATACCGTAAGTCTTATTTTATACGTCCATAAAAACGGAAAGACCCAACTTTTATCTATCATTTTGGTAAATTACCAAAACCCCATCCCTGCATTCCAAATCCAATGCATCCCGTTAATCAATGCCAGTGAAATACTTACAGAGCCGTAGCCTGAGCAAAATGCCAGGGGGGCAGTAAGCGGACACGAAGGGGCGAAGCCCCCGGGGGGGAAGAAATTTTTAAAAACTGTTTGTATAATACTGCAATCTGGTGCATTTTAACTGTTATTTATTGCTCAATCAGAAGTCAGAAATTGTGGGTTCATTTTGCCAGTCATTTTTTCAACACAACACGCCAATTGGACTTTTTGGCATGAACTGAGTTGGCTAAAAGCAGTACTCCTTTATAAACAGATTGTTGAATGATTGTCTAGTGGCCATGAGTGCATTTTCTCACAACACTGATACCAACTTTGCAATTATTTTTTTTACCTTTGCGATTATTATTATTATTATTATTATTATTTTGCACCTCAAATCCCAGGGGGGGGGGCAGCTGCCCCCCCCCCCCTGCCCCCCGGAGGCTACGGCCCTGACTTACGACCCATAAAATTCTCACTGCTGTTGATTGTGGCTAGGCTAAGCATGGACTTCGGCTATGCGTTAAAAATGAGGTCAAGGTCATATCGAGATTTCTTACCGCACAAGACCCCACAAGCCGGCAGAAATGGCATAGCATGACAGCTGAGCCTCATAGTACAATACAGAGATTGAGTGATGGCCAAAGTGGTAGCACTGACATCTCTCACTGCCGTTGTTCTCACGGCTGCTGGAAGACTCCTCTACAGACGATGGTTTCATACGCCGGCAAATTACGTTAGGGAGTTAAACAGGTGTGTATTTTATACTGTCGTTACTGCACTGCATCCTTAGGGGGGTGTAGGGGGGGGGACGCCTCGATACTCCAAATGTTCATTGGTCCTAAAAATCGTATGCACGCGCCTCCTATGAACTTTATTTTATTTCCAGTAGGGCCTACACTATACCCTTATCGTTATTATGTCCAAGATTCATATCATGCATTACTGAACCCTCGGACAAATGGACTTTGGACTGCCGCTACGGCTCCGTAGGCCTATCATGACTATTATACTGACAGACTGTACCTTGGATAGTTAAATGTGCCCTATTATATAGCAGTCAGGCTAGTGACATGATAGAACCAGAGCACGTAAAGGCTGGGCTAGTGAAGCCGCCGCCCCCCCCCCCTTTTTTTGTTTCCAACCACGCTTTGTTTATAAGCATTATCGGGGTTAAACCTGCCCCCCCCCTTCTGCTGCAGTCGCCCCCAACCCCCACTAGTATTTTCTTCCCCCTGAATTCTTAACCCCTCTTCTAAGTCTGTACACATTCCCGCGATCCTGATATAGCCCCCCCCCCCCTCCCCGGTAAAAAGTAGTAGGCCTATATGACGAGAATGTGTTTCCAAAAATATAAAGAAGTGAATACTACAGTGGTACGTGAATCGATCATCGAAGACTGTATTTGTTGACAATGCGATGTGATCAAAGTTCAGTCAGAAATTCGGTACAAGTCCCAAATTTTGACCTACATGTAATAGTAGCCTAAGCATTGTTTTCATGCTTTCTGTGGCCGTTACTTTGTACAGGTGATATATTCGTCCTAACTTCTGACCCTTGCCTGATTCTCCGTCCTAGTTCTGTAGTAATGATATTGGACCCCCGATTTCCATGCACAGGAGAGAGAGAGAGAGAGAGAGAGAGAGAGAGAGAAAGACTTATTCAGAACAGTGGACTAACTAGTCCCAGGGTCAAATATGACGACCCACTTGAATATTTCCCCACAGGGAATCGATTCAGTGTCTATTGGCGGATTGGATGGCAAGCTTTGTAGTGGGGCGCCATATTTGACCCTCGGACTAGCTAGTCTACTACTTTGAATGCGCCCAGAGAGACAGGCAGTCAGACAGACAGACAGACAGATAGACATGGGGATTGCTTTCCCTATCCTCCTGTCACGTCCTTGGGGCGGGGGATACATTTCTTGTTCATATCACTTCCTAGGGTGAGGTCTCTCTATGTCCTCCAGTAATTTCGGGAAATTTGGGGAGGAATGGGGGGGTTACATTCTGCTGTTACAAATTTGGGGGTTGCGGGGTGGGGGTTATTCTCCTGAGTAGAGTCGAAGAAAAACAAGATGTGACACACGATTTGTATTAAGCAGCCGTATACAGGTAGTGGTTGTGGGTGCATCACGCACAATGCAGGCTTTTAATACAAACCTCTGTGATATGAGAAAGTGTTTACGCCGACTTATGAAAAACTCGTCTCTCTTGCGATCTACTGCATTTTTCGTATTTGTTAATTGGACGCTCAAATCAAATCACCTAGACGTTGCCCTACCTTAAAAAAAATGTGTACCCTGTGTTTAACTCTTATCACTTTTACATTTTGCAATAATATGCGATGCAGTCTGATGAATCATACTCAACATGAATCAAATGTAACAGAAAACTTGGTCTTATAATTAGACATTGAGCTTGTACTCGTAATTTTATGTCCTAGACAATATTATAAGGAAGCCGGGGTCGAAGCGAAGAGACAACAAGTCGGACCACACAATTTCGCTTACCTGGAGAAGGGGACACCGACCACAGAACGACCGTCACTCCTGTTTGTCCACGGCTTTACAGGAGAGAAGGAGAACTGGCTGTTTGTTTTAAAGGTAAGCCAGGGACTGGAGTAACGAAACTGGGGGTCCGTGTATCTGAAAACCCGTCCTCCATTTGGTTATAATGGTTTCACGAAGAAGACCTATTTATTTATTTATTTATTTATTTATTTGTATAGCTCGCTTGAGAAACTTACCACTGTATATAACTTCTGGGCCAAGTAAACGAGAACCGGCATTCTCAGTATAATAAGACGAATAAATATTTCTTGCCTAATTACGAAAATTTTCTCTTTCAGACGCTCGTTATTTTACGACATTTTGAAACGTTTTCAGCCTTGAGTCATTTATCAATTACGACATAAACACTTAAACGTAAAACTGCATCCGCTATTTAATTTTTTCCCTTCTGTATCCTTAAAGAAATGCAGGATCGTAAATGACAGATGTATCCTGGCTTTTACACGCTATACACGTGTTATTTGTTTGACGCTCCAAGGCTGAGAGGTCATTAAAAATGTTACCTTGGTAAGTGGATTTGCTAGTGTGAAGTCAGAAAAGAAACAGATGACGTGGAAGTGTTTTAAGGGGACAAATATTAAGTTCATTGAAGGCAATCATTTGGACGGTATGTTAAAGGTACAATGTATCAAACGCGCGGTCAAATTCTGCTTCGTGGACTCTTTAGTGCCGATGATACTCCCTGTATGTCTTTGAGCAAGGAATTTGCGATGGATTTTCATTTATTGGATGAGTCAGATTTCGCTTCAAACAATCTCACTGCAAACAGCCCATATCATTGCACAGGCCTGGTTCTTAGGAGTTTCGTATGTGACACCAATTATACACACTCTGAGCGTGTGAAATAACACTATTTCCAGCGTATTTTTAAAAATGTCACAGGCCCGTAGCCAGCAAATTTAAAAGGGGGGCTCGTTTTCTGAAAACGTGGACCTTTAACAATAAAACTTGTGTGTACCTAGATAAAATTTTACCCAAAATGGACCTTTTCCTGACAAAAGGGGCGGTTCTTTCGAACCTCCCGAGCCCCCTGGCTACGGGCCTGAATGAAGATACAAACAGCGTGTGAAATTGTTTTTAAACATGCCCAAATCGTTTTGTCTCCATCCGGGTATGCGAACGTTCTGGTACACCAATGTTTGCCTGCGTACTCGAGACGTAAATCTATACGACGTAAGGCGAAGGACCCCCTTGAGTTTGTCTGCGCATGGGCAGTTTTTGTCATACGTTAGTGCTAGGTGTGACGTACCTTGGGGTAGTACATGTATGCTCCTCTCGGGTGTGAGGTCCATTCTAGATTGAAAAGATTCATAAAGATCAAGCAAAATTTGCAAAAATAATAATAAATTGACAAGTTATGAATAAATAAATAAATAAATAAATAAATAAATAAATACAAACCTTGCAATTATCAAATTTTGACCTTACCGTTATATACGCATTCAGTATATATACTAGACCAAAAAGAGTTCGGAAATTGTAATTGTTTTTCAGTAATTAAAAAACGATGTAATGTAGTGGAAAAACCTTCAGTTTATGTAAAAAAAAAAGTAATGAATGGTGAGTGCATTATCCATCAATAATTGGTCGAAATATTTACTCTAGCTCATATGGCCATTTTTAATTATTCAAAGTAAAGTTGTTGCTAAACGTTTTGGGGCGGGTATAGATATGTCGTCAGATCGTTGTTTGTACTATTTTTAGCGTCTCCCGGCCGAACGGCACGCCATTGCTGTAGACCTACTGGGTCATGGCGACAGTACAGATTATCCAGATGATCCCAGCATTCGAAATCAAGCACAGACGGTCAAAAAGGTGGGCGAGTTTATATTGTTATCAATAACGGAACTGGGTGAGGGCACACTGGATAGCATGGAACCCATGCCCTCTCTCTCCCCCCCCCCCTCGTCTCGGAGGTACAAGCCTCTCCGCCTTCTTATTAGAAAGAAATTACTTTTCCAGTCGCTCAATCGCGCTCTTTCAGTAAAAGGTACCATAAGAGAATTGTTTTACATTTATTTCTTGTCTCTATGTGGCAACTAAAATATAGTTAACATTGACTGAAATAAGCATTAAATGATATTGTAAATTGTACTGGTTTTCACGTACGTATTATGTTCAGTTTGTGGACACGGTGGGTCTGCAGAAGCCATTCCTTATCATTGGTCAATCCATGGGCGGAGCTATTGTTGGGAACTACGCCGCCATGTACCCGGAAGATGTCGCCACTGTCACCTTACTGTGTCCATTGAGTAAGCTTTTCTTTTCTCTATTTTCATTTCTTTACTTTTATATTGCATTGTTATTTCTTTAATAAACTTTTTGCAAATTAATTTCTACACATGGAAGAAGAAGAAAAAGACTGTAAGAGCGTTCCAGGCTATCGTGGTAATTAAACAGACAGATGTGTCAATCTGACTGCATACTTCGAAAGTCCCCGTGGATTTCGTAGCTAGGCCGATAACATTCACTGCGAACTGTCCCTTACAAATTCTTGTCAGAATGCACGTTAAAGCAGTATGTTTTCTGCTTCACAGTGAAGACGCCGACTCCCAGCACCATGATTGCGGACGCCAAGGCTGGGAGGACCACGGCCTTACAAGACGCCTTCAGTCCCGAGGCCGTCCAGTATATGCTTGACCAGTGTTCCGTGGAAAAACGAGAATATCCACGCGTTGTGGGTATTTTTCTATCTCTCTGTCCTTAAGTTGTTTTACTAGGGTTTTTATTTTTCGATATATCACAGGCATTGGTGAAATTGTTAAATGTGAAATTTATTATTTGTATTCTTAATTTATACATTTGGAATAAAGAAAAAAAATCATATAGGCCTACATGACAAAGTAAATCGTTTCTGAAATGTGTTTTTACTTTCGAAGCATGAAGTATTTTGCCTTCCATCACATGACCACCCACCCCCCTCAAAAAGTGCAGAGACCCTTCAAAAACTGTTTACTTTTTTCCATCTTTACTCAAGAGACGATGAAATGCTATTTCAGTGAATTTTTTTTAAATTTTTTTTCAGCTCTTGGAAGGCATAGCAGAGTTGAGAAGGCGGCATGAAGCTTTTTTCGGCAAATGTGAGTTAAATTCATGACTGCATACTTGGTTGTTTTTTATTTTTATTATTTTTAATTTATTTATTATAATTTTATTTATTTATTTATTTATTTATTTATTTATTTATTATTATTATTTTTTTTTTTTTTGCAATTTTGTTAGGTAAATAAACAGTTGTTTTAATTTGATGCTAAAATGCCAAGAATTGTGGCAAATTGGTTTCAGCATTTATCATTCGTAATATTTCACATCTATATAGTCTATATATAGGTCTACACCACACCGTCTTCTCACCAACGTTGATTTTATTTAAAAGTATCAAGGTCATCCCAAATACAGCACTTTGAGGCATGGCAGACAATTGAGCTGATAACATTGACTGCATTTTACAGAGAATCCCAGCAGATTTCGATCGATCCAAATTAAAATGCTTCCTTAAACTTAAAAGCCAGATAGATTTTCATTGCTGTCTGAATGCCTGAGTGTAGGCCTTCTCAGAGCACACATTATTGTTTTCTAGTGTATTTTGCGCTGGGGAAGCATGAGAACCGGACAGCACTGGAGACCTCTCTTCCCAAGATAACGGTCCCCGTTCATGTCCTTTGGGGTGACCAAGACCAGGTGAGTTTTCCCTGAGCTTTTACAAGTTTGCATATACAAGTGCATTCATCGTCTCTACAAACCTTGTGCTTAAGATATTCCCAGTGCTTGATAATTAGAATATTATATTCTCCAACGCCATGACTTAATTTATTCATTTGTTTGACATGTACATGTAGTAGTAAGCCATTTGGGCTCAGGTGTTCTTATTTTTGTACCTCTGAAAAAACATTATCTGTGTATTTACTATCAGTAAGTTGTAATATGTCTTCCAGATCGTTCACGTCTCAGGTACGGAAGTCATAGAAAAGGTGTCTCCCAGGAGCAAGATAACGATAATAAAGAACAAGGGTCACTCTTTAAACGTTGAATGTCCGCAAATTGTGGTGGACAGCGTTCTGGACTCTACACGTGGCACAACACCCAAGTCTTCCCTATAACGTCACTGGAGCCAACAAACACGCTTCTTAGGTACACGTACCCTCTACAGGGGCTGCAGTTTTTTCTTATGTGGACAGTTTCTCTGATGCGTACAGCACAGAGAATAAACGTCAATTTAACCAGAGACATATCTGTGGATATATAGTGAAAATTCAATCTGTGGCCCTGGTAGAGGGTACGTAACAGGTGCATGACGCACTCATACTTACAATGTACGTTTATATAACTGATTGCTTCAGTTAATGTTAAAAAATTCCAATGACAGGCTCAATAGCTGAAGGTGTCTTGTGAGATACTGCTCTTGAAAATCATTTATTATATTGTCTAGTCATTCAATCATTTCATTGTTATTTTATGAACCCACTCTTAGACTATAGCTACATGTATATTACTTCAACATTCCACCTACGATCCTGTAAGCTCCTGAATTTATTTTTAAATACTATTTTTATTTGTTTTATATTATTATTATTATTATTATTATTATTATTATTATTATTATTATTATTATATCGACCTGAATTGCAAGATATCGTTTGTTGTTAATCTATTAAATCGTAATTAAAAGGACTACTGTTTAAGCCCTGAATTCTTGACAAGTTTACAGCCACGTCCAAAATGACTATAAAAATGTTGATGCAGCAAGGCCAGGTTAATGCAGCAAAGCCAGGTTAATAACACCTCCCCCTCTTAAAAATTGCCTCCACAGGCTATAAAATGAATGAGACGCTTGTTTATTTGTAAATGTGTTAGGTGCGCCGCGCGCAACGGGTGTGTTTATCTTGTGTATGAGTGGAGCGCATTGCGGTTTTTGGGCGACAATGGGAGCGGTCTCTCTTGTCTTTAAAAGTCGGCCCTTAGATTAATTTACTTTTTTTTTTTTTTTTTTTTTTTTTTTTTTTTTTTTTTTTTTTTTTTTTTTTTTTTTTTTTTTTTTTTTTTTTTTTTTTTTTTTTTTTTTTTTTTTTTTTTTTTTTTTTTTTTTTTTTTTTTTTTTTTTTTTTTTTTTTTTTTTTTTTTTTTTTTTTTTTTTTTTTTTTTTTTTTTTTTTTTTTTTTTTTTTTTTTTTTTTTTTTTTTTTTTTTTTTTTTTTTTTTTTTTTTTTTTTTTTTTTTTTTTTTTTTTTTTTTTTTTTTTTTTTTTTTTTTTTTTTTTTTTTTTTTTTTTTTTTTTTTTTTTTTTTTTTTTTTTTTTTTTTTTTTTTTTTTTTTTTTTTTTTTTTTTTTTTTTTTTTTTTTTTTTTTTTTTTTTTTTTTTTTTTTTTTTTTTTTTTTTTTTTTTTTTTTTTTTTTTTTTTTTTTTTTTTTTTTTTTTTTTTTTTTTTTTTTTTTTTTTTTTTTTTTTTTTTTTTTTTTTTTTTTTTTTTTTTTTTTTTTTTTTTTTTTTTTTTTTTTTTTTTTTTTTTTTTTTTTTTTTTTTTTTTTTTTTTTTTTTTTTTTTTTTTTTTTTTTTTTTTTTTTTTTTTTTTTTTTTTTTTTTTTTTTTTTTTTTTTTTTTTTTTTTTTTTTTTTTTTTTTTTTTTTTTTTTTTTTTTTTTTTTTTTTTTTTTTTTTTTTTTTTTTTTTTTTTTTTTTTTTTTTTTTTTTTTTTTTTTTTTTTTTTTTTTTTTTTTTTTTTTTTTGCCAAACTTAAAATCACAGAAATTTTATCACGGGGAATTCAGACAGTTCGGGTCAGATGCGATCAAAGAGGATTTTTTTTATTCAGTAGCAAATAAATATACAATATTACAGTTTTTGGCTTATGAATCGCACACAAACAGACACACACACACACACACACACACACACACACACACATTTACATACTTGGACTCTCTTTCTCTCTCAGTAAAAAAAAAGGTTGTACAGTTACAGTATTGCATAAACGGGTAGAAAATAGAGATTGACAATTCATGTTGTTAACCTTACAATTGAAATTCTAAGAGGTATATCATCAGCTTGTTAATTAAGTTGCAATATGCGATCAATATTTTCCCATTTTCTTTTAACATGTTGTAGTTTTTTGTCGGTATACATATATAAAGAATATAAACAAATATTTCTGTAATAATAAACGTATTGTCTAATTATGTTATCAAGCGCCAAGGACTACTTCCTGTCATGTTTTTGTCTCTGTTGGTTTGTCAGTTTCATGTAACAACTAACCTCCAAAAATTATGGGTCTATTTTGATAAAAATAAAAAAAAACATTCAGGATAAATCAGAAATGTACGTCTTAGTACTGGTTAGATTGTGGCGGGGATCCCTTGATTTCAAAAATTTAGCTGTCTTGACAGAGGTCTGCGTTCTCACGAGTGCTAGTTTTATATGGTCTACCTACGTCATATGTACATGTAGCTAAGGACAGGACATACCTGATGCTAATATAATATCTGAACTTGATTTTATCTCTGACCAGGGAATTATATCCGATATAATCCCTAGCTCTGACCCACCCCGAGATTACATAATCTAATGGCCTCAGTTCTTTGTTACAACTATGTTTACGCTTTCTAGTCATACCAAATAGAGGGAACTGGGATAATAGTGCCCGGGACGGGCACACTTAGGGACCATTCCCAGAGCCTATCGTACTAACATTGGATCAATCTATCTCCAAGGGGATTCTCACTAAATTGCTATCAAATTAAGCGGCTTAGATGTTTCGCACGCCCACTGAAGCTGTTAGGGTGTAATTAACTATCGTTAAGCGGCTTCAGTAGGCGTGCCAGACATCTTAGCCGTTTAGTTAAAAGTAATTTAGCGAGAAACCCGTTGGAGATAGATCGATCCTGTTAGATCGATCTAGGCATGGGAACCCAGTCTTAAAAAGACCGAAATATACATGGATATTGGTCATAGAAATAACAGTGTAAAGAAAGCGAATTTATCCTCTTGGGATGTTAACCTATGTGGTTAATGCCACGGTTTAAATAATATTACCGATCATCTTTAGTTTACACCCGTTTGACAATGAAGCATAAGACGTCACTATGAGTTTGGTTATCTAATTGCGTGTAAAAGCAGCGTTATAGAACAAGTGTAAATAGCAAGAACAAATGTAATACATGTGAATTAAGAACTTCCTTAATTCAAATTTTACTTGTATTTGCTTCAGCTGACCTCTTTATTTGCAGCGACATCTGTCTCTCTCTCTCTCTCTCTCTCTCTCTCTCTCTCTCACACACACACACACACACACACACACACACACTTTTAGTACAGTCAGGCGGATTGTATCGTTTCACACTGTATTTAGTATAGATAAGTGACGTTTGTATCACCTCTCTTTCTTTATAAATAACAACGTGTCCTACATGTGTTCATATGACTGATTATATGATTAATTTTCGGTTCAACTTTTGTAACGAATTATACAGCAGGTAACCTCTAACTGAAAAAAAAAATAGCGACAGCAGCGCGCAGATTCTATCCAGAAGCAAAATTTGAAACTGTCTAAATGGGGATTACGCTGGACATTGAAATGCATAAAAGTGGAAAGGCATAATGAAATATCGATTATATACAACCGTCCAGCGTTAACACTACTTCAAATAACCCAAAGTGTAAATCTAAGTGCACTCTTTTACTGGACCCAAGGACCCATAATGCATGTGTATATTGGATCATAGGTATGATCCTGTGCAGTTTTGGCATTCTGTTAAACAACCGTAGCATCGTACAAATCGTGATGCATTGTCTAAAATATCAGAGCTACAATGCCATGTTTTCGTAACATTGATTTCGTGCAAGGGAGTCAGCTTTTGAGCGACAATGTCTATATATAAAGGAATAATGCCTGCAGGCCACAGACACTGGCGGAGAGCAACCATATTGCACTCAGGTTATATCACCATTCAGATTGTATTCAGACAAAATCAAGCGTGCGTGAAGGTCACGATTTTCTTTCATATGCAGATAATGTGAGTGAAATGCCCGGCCGTTGCATAATACTGGAATTATTCTATTCGAACGATGTTTTTCGACACCGTGGTTAAGATATAACCTCTCCCAGGGCCGCGGATTGGTTATTCACTAGATTTTTACAGTTGTGTCTGGCCATTAGAATTCACTTTTCTCTGCTGTGAGAGACTTTATATAATTTATATGATTATAAAATACTTTATATGTATGTGTAATGATGATGCCTACCTATATACGTAATTTTCTTGCTATTTATTTGTGCTATTTATTATAATTATTATTATTTATCTCTGTAAATTTTCACCAACTCAGTCTGATGTAAAACATATGAATAATTAAAGCACTGTATAATATGGAATTTACAACAGCTGACCTCTACCCTCTGCCAGGGCCACATATTGATGTTTCACCAGACATTCTCAGATATGTCTCTAATTAACGTTCATTGCATATTTGTCCATTGTTGCATTGGAGAAAAGTTCATATAATCTGCGGCCCTGGTAGAGGCTAGGCAGAGGGTAGATAACCAACTGTTAACAAACCTCGTGTTTTACCAAATTGAATTCAACTGTGTTATTGAACCTCTATTTTAAGTCCACCCAACCACTCTTCCTGTCTGCGGACTAACAGATTCGCGGATCAAATAAGGCGGATCCATTTGAAAGCAAGGGCGCCTAATCTCTTAATGGGTTCCCCGGCTCTGCACGCGCCACAAGACACAATTTAGCAGATTAAATCTCGGTTAATTGATAAACCCCTGCAGGGTAGCAGGTAGCAGGCATTGCTTTAAAGTGGGGTCGGCCATATTTAGTGCACGGATCATCTGTTGTGAATGCAGCCAGTGTCATGTCACTCCATCGTTATAGCCTTTCCCATAAAACTGTTGGCATGGCAATCGTCTTTTGTGATATATTGCATTTTTTTTCTTTCGTTGCTTTAGTGGCGATAGCAAAAAAGCAGAAATTTTCTTCAGCACCCAAACAGTTGGGTGCAGCAGAATTCTAGTATTTATATATATTATAAATACTGAAGTGAAATCAAGTGTAAAATATTTCCACGTCCCATTTTCCAATCTCACTCCCATAAGGATCAGTAAACTCAAAGACCACAGTCGTAAACATAATCTTTCATTATGTATGAGAATTTATTTATAAGAATCTATTTTTGGTTGTGCCGTTGACCAACCCATAACACGTTTCTAAAACGGATAGTCGCTAATGTTTTGAATAATAGAAGCATCAAAAGCCCGTAACAAACACATGACACTACAACAGTATACAAATGCAACGAGGCAACTTCTGAAGCAGCAGTGTACATGTAACAGATCAGAAAGTGACACTCTGATTTTATAGATTTTTTTCTGGTAGCAAACTTTGCCTTAACTTTTGCTAGGAGAGGGGGATCTGTGCTTCTTGAAAACGGTAATTTCATTGACTTTGGACTTTTGCCAGACCAATATCTATCCCACGTGGTTTTCAACCGATAAACCGTCATACTTGTCACGTGGACATCTTCTCCCTCACAGTAAGCGTCAAGGCCATCACTAGTTTCATTCTGTGGAAAAATGAGTGTGGTGATCACTTGTCGCCCGTCATTGGCGAATAGTTCCACGGATGACCAGTCAAGAAACATATGCAGTTTAAGCGAGCCCGCCTGCAGGGTGACGTTTGCATTGTAGAAAACTCCCATTCCTTTACCCTGAACAATATGGCCACTCATTGACCTATTTATAAATATTTCCCGATTAACATGGTCGTATCCAACAACCGTGTGTTCCGTTTCACCAGCCATGAGCTTCAAACCCACAATTCGAGTCTTTGGTTTGGGTTTGAGTTGGACGATGATTTCTAGCAATCGACCCCTCACGTTTTTTGCCTGCAGGTTTTTACTGATCTGAAAGATATTGAACGGCACCAGCTCAACAAAATGTCCCGCAGCTAGTGAGTGAAATTGGGTTTTAGACAAACAAATATGTTTTACACAACCTGAAGCACATGAAAATGGCGCTTGCAATACATATCAAGTAGGTAAAGAAGCCGACAGTATAAGCAGTCACTTAGGGTAGTTAGGGTAGTATAAGAGCTATGGTCACTTACCGTTGAAATCTTGGCGTTTCTTATCTCCCAGACAACCCCAGTCCTCAATTTTTCGACTTCTTTGATCGGCTTTTGCACCAGAAGAAGTTCTCCGTTTTCCCTCTCCAGAGACAGCACGCGAGTTAAGGACTGGACCCCCTGCCAAGGCCGCGTCGGATGATACCGACACATCTCCCAAACGCTAGGGCAAAATAAGAAAATTAAAAAAAATCAGTTAGGGATCAATAATCTTCCGAGATAAAATCTAAAAAAATCAAATCAAATGTCATGGCTAGTACCAGTTTCATACAAAGCACAAATAACATTGTAATGCAAAAGGATTTAGAAGAAAAAGAACAACAAATCAGATTTATCTATCGGGTATCATAAAAAGGGCATTAGACTGCACCTTGTTAAAAATTTCTGGTCGTATATTTGACCTACTTTCCCCTCCATTCCAAAAGTCACGGAGAAAAAACATTTAAAATTGTTCAAACATCATTTTTAAGAAATAAAGGGGAAAAACTCTGCTGCATTTCTTTAAGTTATATTATTGTGACACTATGGTGGCATAGCTTGGGTTAAGTAGAAATGATGTAACAAATGTACTCCCTAAATGTGCATATGTAAAAGCTCTTTGGTTAATATCACAAAGACTACTTAACGTAGTCGACTATTCGATCTTACCACTCTAGGTATCACCTTAAAGAGCAATAACTTGAGATTTTTGTAAAACCGTAAAGGGTCCCATAATATATTTGAAGAAGCCATAAAATGCCCCATTATTAGCTTTAACCAGAGGAAAAAAACGTTGTCGCCTCACCACATCCACCCCGTAATCAACAATCGATCGTCCATATAATTATTCCACGTCTGAATGGCGGTGAAGTCGGGGCCAAAGTCTAAAATTTTGGCCATGGTTTGGTCAGTGGTAAACTTTTTCCCGTCAAATTCCCCTGAAAAAAAATTGATATCCGATAATAATACTGTTGATTAAAGGGAGAGTCTCCTTAGTTTAATAGCCCTCTGAGATCGTTCAAGGCAACAAGCTACTGACAAAACTGCCATAGTGTTCAACTCTTTTAACTGACTGATCCTTACGTTATGTTTAGGGGCTCATTCCCAATGAAACTTTTGCTCTACCCAGATCGATTCACCTTCGCAGGGACTCTAGCAGATTAACAGTTTAACACGGCTTTTGTTTCCAACAAACGCATATAGTTACCAACTTTTCTGCATTCCACTCAACGCCAGTAGTAGGTCTTCATAACATGTTAAACTGGTAGCATTCAGCAAGAGTCCCTGGAGAGTTGAATCGATCTACGTAGAACGATAGATTCATTGGGAACGAGCTCTTGGATAATTTAGCAACATGTCCAGTTCCAGTTTAAAGTGCAATATACCACGAAGCATGTTTTATAAACGAAGACAGCAATGCGACAAAACCATCTTTTATTCCAAACCTCAGGAGACATTTTATCATATTCACCGCATTCAGAACAGCTGTTCCGCGGACTAAATGTGGTCGACCCACTGAAAAAGCAGTGTCACCTAATCCTTGATAGGCCGGGAGACCAAAGGTGATTATGCGACAATGCTTTTTAGTGGGTCGGCCATATTTGATCCGCGGATCTGTTAGTCCGCGGATCCACTTCTTCTGAAATACATATCCATGCAGCACCCGTGGGCCCCCAGCAAGTCACTGTTACGGAAAGACATACATACACGAAGCTTTTAATTCACCCATTTTAGATAATACTCCATTTTCACATCGAGGGGTACAGTTTTCTGTCCCGCGTTAGACTGTGTTCCCATGCTTAGATCGATCCATCTGGATCAGTCTAACTCCCTGGGGTGTCTCACTAAATTGCTATCAACATAACCGGTTAAATGCCTGTCACGCCTACCGAATCAGATGGGGGGGAGTAAAGACAATTACCCCCTAACAGCTTTACTGGGCGTGACAGACATTGAAACCGGTTAAGTTGATGGCAATTTAGTGAGACTCCCCAGGGAGATAGATCAATCCAAAAATCGGAGGGAATGGACCCTTAATTTGGCTGGACCTAACATATTCTTATATCTTAATAGGGGAAGGGGTGTATTCTTTTATAAGCTTTAATATAGCAATCAAAATTAAAAGATTTGATTTTTTTCAATACATTTTGAATCATACCGCGTGATTCTATCCAGGCAAAGTGTAATACTTTTCAATAACAAATCAAGAAGAAGAAGAAAAACCTATAGAAAAAGAGGAAGATAAAAAAGAAGAAAAAGAATGAAAAATGTTTATTTAATGTAATAATGAAAAATTATCTTTTATTTACAAATAACGTCGAACAGATCAGAAAACATGTTCTATTAATTGAAATATTTAGGTTAACATCGATTTTGGAGGGGAAGACAAGTAGTTTAAAGCAATAATAACTTTTCCTTTGAGATTAAAAATTCCGCAAGAAATACATTGTAAACGACGCATGGAAATATATTATATTGCATTTCACCACTAAAACGGTTGATATTGTAGTAAAACTAAAAACTGTGCTTGTCAATAGGGCTTTCGATGCCTTTCTTCCCGGTCGTCAAGGCATCCGTTGCCAATGACGTTGGGTTGTCACGCGGATTCTCGCGTTCATTCGAGACCAAAATAACATATGGCGGCAATATGATAGCAGTGCAATCCTCAGACGTAAGTTGCGAATTTTTGTACAGTGCGTCGGATAACGAATAGCCCAGAACAGCACACATTGTAGATATAAATGCATTTTGAACAATAAGACGAACATATCGCATGAATCTTATATTATTGTTATATAGTGTTGTTGTAGTCTGCTTTTCCCGCGGTTTTAAGTAGGTCACCAGAAAACCTCGCTCGATATCGCTTGACTGTGCAATGTCAGAGAGGGCTCCGTCAGTTAAAATCTCTTAAAAGATTTTAACAAAAAAAAAACAAACTTTTAGGGAAAAAAAACCCTAGGCTAACTTTGAATGCAGGAATGGGGTCGTTGACCATTGGTAAGTACGGGAAAATTGCCGTTTACGCCAGGAAAATCCAATTTTTGGCCAAAACGAAGAGTTATTATGACTTTAATTTGCTAGTTTGAGGCCAGGTCTGTTGTCTAGGCTTCATCTTCACTCTTGTCCTAAGCACTGCATTAAGAAATAATTATCAAATGAAAATATTATCTTTAACAAAAAGTCAACAATATAAATAAACATACCAGTCCAATACATGACTGTGCGACGAGGGCGGGATCCAACTCCTGTCATGGACGGCAATACCCACTTCGATATATTTTCTCCTTGCACTTTTATTTCGAAGAAATTTGGTGTTTCCCATTCTTTGTTAATTATCAGTCCTTCTGGGCCTTTCTGACTCAAGTATGTCCAATTTTTCAGATCCGGGGAAGAATAAAACTGTACTGCTCTTTGCCCCACCGCTTGTGCAACCACCATTAGCCAGCGGTTTGACGGCTCATGCCATATTACTTTCGGGTCTCGGAAGTGGTATTTTCCAGTCCTCAGAACTGGGTTTTCGTCATACAACGTCCATGTTATCCCCCCGTCCAAACTATAGGCAAGTCGCTGATCCGATTCGATGAAGCTCCTTAGAAAATAAGACAAAAAGACGCAAGATGACAGATCTTCCGTGAACTACTGAATAATGGGCATAATGATTGAAGGAATAATAACTCTTCGTATGAGTTCTTCATTTCACAATAAAAAACATTGTGAACAACTCATAGAAATATAATATATTCTGTTTTATCACAAAACGGCAGTTATAGCTATTTTTCTGATGTCTGAGCTTGTCATCAGACCACGTGACCTCCATTCATGGCTATACTCTGTTATAATGTCTTACGAAAACAAACTTTTTAGAAAAAAAAACAGGGACTAACTTTGAATGTAAAAATGGATTCATTAACCATTGGTTAGTATGGGAAAATTGTTGTTTACTCCAGGAAAATTAATATTTTGGCCAAAATGAAGAGTTATTATCCCTTTAAATATATAAATGCATAGATATTTATTCGTTTAGGAGCACTCTTAGCACTACCTTTGGAGTTACAATTCCTCTTAAGAATACGAAACAAGAAACTGGTTAGCAAAAAAAAAAAGATAAAATAAATAAATAAATAAATAAATATGATGTTAGAGTTCATAACATCGTTTTAAAAAATTCATTTCATCAATCTCCGCTCACAACGACAGCGGAAGAAAGGACGTTTACCACTTACGCAATATTCCCAGTAAAAATGATAACCATGGCCGTGGATCTGTCGGTGGAAAACCCAGTGGTGTTTTGAAAATCCATCACCGCACTACCGCTAAAAGCCAAGATTCCAGCCTGCTCGGGTATGGCGAGAGGCCATATCTCCCAATGAAGCAAATCCGTGCTCACTGCATGCCCCCAGCTACTGTACAATGTAGGTCCCTTACCTGAAAATATCACAAATAATTAACATCTCATGGGTACCCAATTTTTTTCAGAAAAGATGTACTTGCCATGCCCTGTCTTTATTTTAATGATCACTTTTAGAGAAATGGCGCATCGGTAAACATGACGCTCTTCACGGTTTTGAAGATCATTTTGGGGCTCATTCCCATTGAAACTACTGTCTACGTAGACCGATCCAACTCCACGTGGATTATCGCTGAAAGCAATCAGTTTAACGGATTAACACGCTTCCTCTTGTTTCCAACTTACTCGCACATTCACCGCCTTTTCTGTATTCTGCTCAACTTCTTGCTCGGGACAAACTTTACTGCTTACAAATCACTCCCCCTCCTCCATCTTAATATCTCGATTGTCTATGTTACGTTCAATATTGCCGTTTAGATAACTCGCAAGCGGATTAATTCAAGACATAATGAAAATAATATTTTTGCTTGTGGGGGATAACTGCCTTATATTGTCACTACAGACATATGTCCATGCAGATGATGTTGCTTTTTAAATTAAAATTGAAATAAAAATTGGATAACACTGAAATTCGCCCTTTTACGTGTCCCTTAAAATACTTAAGTTACATACCAACAGGGTCATATCCATAGAACAAGTGATAAATCCCATCGTACGCCATTAGTCCACATGGGTCGTTCATGAAGTGTTCGGGTGTGCTGAAATGATACTGGGGTCGCCATCTTTCATGATACAATTCTGGTTTAGGCGGCCGTGGACGTAGGCTGTAGATGCTCGCCGGCTGCAGTATGATGAATATCAAAAGCAAAGTCAGAGATCGTATCATTTTAAAACCAATTTCACAACATCCTTGCTTGTCCTCTATAGAAATGGAGGAGTCCGCATGTCGCAGAGGCAGCCGTCCGAGATAGAAAGACCCAAAAGAGAAAGAGAAAACAAATGATTGCGATTGTTATACGTCTGACCGTCCTTTTTACCGTTTTTCCCCTCGACCGAACGAAATGACCCCGGTGTCAGTCGATGTCCAGACAGCTGTAAATAAATGAAATGCGTTTATATGGGCGGCCACTGCGTAAGCTTTTTTTACCTTTCTTGTTGCGTACACTTAATGTGAGATTATTGTGCTGTCACCTATTGGATTCGATACTCTCTAATCACAGGGTCCACAGGTAGTCTGTTCCAAAATTACTGTATCGGCCTTTACTTTTATTTGGCTTAGACCTACTATTTAAGAGGTCCCTGTTATCAAAGGGGAGAGGAGGGGTCTACAGTGTATATACTCTCTACCAAGGCCACAGTTTGATTTTTTTACCACATAGATATTCACATGTATGTCTTTGGCTAATTACCTCCGCCAAGGAGGTAATGTTTTCACCCCTGTTTGTCTGTCTGTCTGTCAGCAACATAACTCAAAAAGTTATCGACCGATTTTGATAAAATTTTCAAGAACTGTCAGAAGTGGGCCAAGGAAGAGATGATTAGTTTTTGGTGGTGATCCGGATCAATAATCAATCAATCAATAATCAATAATTATAAAAAATAGCTGCCTTGGCGGAGGTCTGCGCTCTCGTTCATGACAGTTATAACTTTACGTTTAAATACATCATGCGATGTCTTCGTCACTTAAGACAATGATCAATGGATGGCCAAAGATATTATCTTCGAACTTACACCAGCACTTTGATACAAGTTAATATATCATAGGGGACCATTCCCAGGCCCTATCGTACTAACTGTGGATCGATCTATCTCCAAGGGGATTCTCGCTAAATTGCAATCAACTTTTAAGCGGTTTAGATGACTGTCACGCCTAACGAAGCTGCTAGGGGGTAATTAATTATCGTTTAGCAGCTTCATTGAACGTGCCAGATATCTACGCCGCTTTAGCTGAAAGCAAATAAGCGAGAAACCCCTTGGAGATTGATCGATCCTGTTAGATCGATCTCGGCCATTGTTTCTTGACGTTTTTAGTGAAATTATCATTTCTCACACTGTATCAATTGTGAGTTTGAATTTCTGGGGTGGCTGAAGGTCTGTAGTCCACAAGTTATAGTTTCTGAATGTCCACATTACATCTAGCATAATGCTATACTAGTAGGCATCTCATGACCGTTGTTACGTCATTGGCTCAAATAAATTCACCTCGATTATTGGTGTGGTGGCTTGCTGTAATAACACGACAGTGTTTATTTTCGCGTTACTTATACGGTTAAGGGAAACACCCTAACACATCCAAACCTTTCATACCCCTCCCCCTTGAGCGGATAAAACGTTTTTATTCGTCCAAGTACATACCTTCTACATGTTCCAGGGCCACAGTCTGATTTTTCACTAGATATCCACAGTTAAGGTCATTGTACTTTATATAAAAGACTATTTCAAAACGTAAACTATTGAACATCTATTGACTTGTGCGAAGACCTTATCATTTGTATAGTTAGATTAATGTAACCGATCTCTCTCATGTTTATATTCGCAGTAGGCCCTACTGTTTATTGTAATAGATTTCGCTGTATTATACGTGTATGTGTTGACAGCAGCGCCACCAAATGTCACGTGCCATCCAGCGCGGGCTAATTATATTAAATGTGTCAGGAAAGATTAGGTATAGTTTGTATGATACTATGTATTTTTATGTTAGTTGTTTTTTTTTT